GTGTGTGTGTGTGTGTGTGTGTGTGTTTTGTGACACTGGAAGGGGTGAGGAGGGCAGCTTGGTATGGAAGAATAAAGAGACCCAAATGATAGAAGCAGTCCGGGACAGGGAAGCTGGCGGGCGTAGGGGTTGAGCTTGGAGGCGGGAAGCTTGCCGAGCCACGTCTTCAAAGCTGAGTAGGAGTTGGGAGTGGCAGAGGCCCCTTGGAGTGAGAAGCCCCGGCTCTGCCCAGCAGGCACACTGCCAAAGGCTTGGCTGTGAATTAAAAACAAAATCAAAAGTGTTCTTAATTCTGTGGATCTTGTTGAAGCAATTCAAAAGTATGTTTCTGATTTCGAGTTGCCAAGTGATAGATACTATTGCGTGACTGTCACTTTATGGAGTTCGTACAACAGTCCATGAAGTTTATAAATCGTACTCTTGTATAGCTAGAATTAAAACTGCTCTGCTATCACAAAAACAAACAAGCAAGCAAAAACAAAGCTTGGCCGTGAGGGTTAGACACACCAAATCCCAAGGGTCTCAAGTTCAGGGACTGGGATCACTTCTGCAGATTTTCTGCATGATGGGATCTTAATTTTCTATTGCTGTTGTAACAAATTACCACCAACTTAGTGTTTTTATTTTATTTTTGTAGAGGTTTTTGCCTTAGGGTACATGTGCTCACCGGAAAGAGAGACAGAGGCAGTGAGAGAGAAAGTGAGAAATCACTCCCTAGCGGGGATGGCCACACTGCAATCTCTTCTCCTCCATTCTCCTCCTGGGATCTTGGGCATGCACATACATGCACTGACGTGAATTTCAAGCCACTGGAAAGCCAAATTTCAAACCGCCATCAGCCATGTGGGAGTCCAGCGACATAACCGCTTTGCATCTGCTGATTCCAACTTAGTGGCTTTAAATGGCACAGATGTAGCGTCTTAGATTTCTTTTCATATATATATATATATATATACCGCAATCCCTTCTCCTCCATTCTCCTCTCGGGATCTTGGGCATGCACGCACACATGCCCAGCATGAGTTTTAAGCCACTGGGTCCAGGACGTGAACCGCGGTCGACTATGTGGGAGTCCAGCGACATAGCCATTACGCTAACTGCTGGTCCCCGCGTCTTAGATTTCTGTAAGTCTGAGTCTGACACAGGCTCTCTGGTCTAAAGTTGAGTTGTTGCAGGACTCTGCTCCTTTTTGGAGGCCCTTTTCCAGCTTGTAGGGGCCACACTGTTCCCTAGCTCCTGGCCCTCCTCAAACCCTGCACTGTGGGCCGAATCCCTCTCCACTGCTCCCTCTCTGACTCTTGTTCTTCTGTCTCCCCATTCCATTATGAGGACCCTGTGGTTACCTTGCACCCATCCAAGGAGCCCGGGATAATCTCCCCATCTCAAGGTAGGTTGGTTAGCAGCCTAATGTCCCTCCGCTGTGTAACCTAACATGTTCACAGGTTCCAGGGATTGGGTCGTGGACATCTCTGGGGAGACCTTATTCTGTCTACCACAGGGAGTCTATAGCTTCTTGTCAAATCTTAAAAGATGGGATTGGGATCAGCAGATGGTGTCATTGTTATGGTGCTGGACTCCCACATAGCTGACTGTGGTTTGAGACTCAAACCAGGTGCATGTGCGTGTGTGCCCAAAACCTCAAGAGGATAATGGAGGAGAAGGGATTATGGCATGACCATCCTCGGGGGAGGAGGAGCGTGATTTCTCACTTTGTGACTCTGTCTTTCTCTGTCTTTCCAGTGAGTGCACACACCCTATAGCAAAAATCTCCTAAAACCACCCCCCAAAAACAGAAAAGAAGCTGGGATTAAAAAGGGTGGCCTGAGGGCCAGCCTGTGGTAAGGTGTTTAGGGTGGCTGGGTCCCACATGGCCAACGGTGCTGTTCAAGTCCCAGACCGGTGGCTGGGAAAGCATGTCGGGTGTGTGTGTCTGTGTGCTCAACATCCCAAGAGGAGAATGGAAGAGGAGATTGTGGCATGGCCATCTCCCCTTGGGGGTGCTTTCTCACTTTCCTGTCTGTCTCTGAGGTCACACAACTTACAGCATTTTTTTTTTTTGATAGAGAGATATTTGCTATAGGGTGCATATACTAGCCAGAGACAGAAAGGGAGAAATGACCTTCCGAGAGGGGATGGCCATGCTGCAATTCCTTCTCCTCCATTCTCCTCTCAGGATTTTGGGCACACACATGTTCCTGGTGTGAATTTTAAGCCACTGTGTTTGGGACTCGAACCACAGTCAACTACGTGAGAGTCCAGTGACATAACCAGTATGTCACCTGCTGCTACTTATAGCAAAATTTTTAAAAAGAGTGGGCTGATAAGGAAGTGAGGAACTGGTGGGGAGGTGACACGGTTGGACTGTATTCTGGAAAGGAAGGTCTGACGGCATTGCGGAGGAAGGCTGGGACTGGCCTGAGACTGGAGGGAGACCAGTCAGGAGGAATGTCAGTAGCAGCAGCTCAGAGGCGGTGGTGGGTGTCGGTCCCTGGCGAGGCAGGAGGGAGGCTCAGGAGGGAGCGTTAGCGGGCTGCACCTCTGCTCCGTGAAGTCGATCTAACAAGGGTGGGGCCTGTGTTTCTGACTTGGGCGGCTAGATGGTGGGTTGTGATTTCCTCCCAAAGTGGGGACCAGGAGAAGATGTGAGAGAGGGAATGAGGTGTCTTTGGGAATTCCCGGTAGAGATGTCATTTAAAGCAAGAGGAGAGGAGCAGCCACAAAGATGGGGAAGGGGAAGGTGGTAGGAGGGGATCCGAAGGCTTCAGGAACAGAAAAAGGAGGGACGAGCAGGTGATGTAGTGTTTACATCGCTGGACTCCCACAGAGTTGACCGTGGTTCGAGGACTGGACTTGGTGGCTTAAAACCCACGCCACGCACGAGTGAGTGTGTGGCCAAGATCCAAGAGGAGGATGGAGGAGAAGGGATTGTGGTGTGGCCATCCTCCCTGGGGGGTGATTCTTGCTTTCTGTCTCTCTGGCAAGTCAACTCACCCTATAGCAAAAGTCTCTCTCAAAAAAAAAGGAAAAGAAAAAGTTTCTTCCAGAATGTGGTCAGTGTCAGATGTTTGCTGAGCCCCAGGGAGGTGGCGGGTCAGCCGGGTGCGGATGGCTTGGTGCCTTGGTTTCCGCGTTTTGGGAAATGTGGGTTTAAGGAGCGTGGGGTTCCCAGGCCAGGGCCCAGTGTCCAGCAGTGTGTGTGGATGGGAAGCCCCCTGTGGTTCCTTCTGTGGGATGAAGCTGGCTACCTCCGGAAGTGGGCAGACGAAGCCCCCAGGACTTGTGTGGGCCGCACAGTGAGGCCCTTAGCCCACTGTCTGTCCGCTCCTTCGTAAACGTGAGAGGGAGCAGCCTGCCGCGGGGGTGGTTGGGAATGTCACTGCTTGGTTTCTTCCCTCACTTGGGCCAGCGTCCCAGAGGAGCTCTGAACTGAGGGACGGAAGACTCCGAGGGTGTCGGAAGGGCAGCCCTCTGCCGGCCTCCGTGTCACACCACTCCAGGCAGCCGACGAGGGCCTCGGAGTTTCAAGGCCTCCACCGGGGGAAGAGCTGGGTCCGTTCTCCTCCAGGCCTTGGTTTGGGGTCCTGTCCTCTGAATCCTCAAGGCTGGATTAGGTGTCCCTGTTCCATGTCCTCATCGGCCCTTCTGCTTCCCAGCCAGGACTGTTCTTTAGACGTGTTACAGTTGTGTCCTTGTAAGACCCTCCCAGGGTGTGGCAAAGTGGGCAGGAAAGGGTGTGCCCGGCCAGCAGGTGTAGAGAGGGGAGGGAAGGAAGGGACGTCGGGATGTCGGACCTGGGCCCTGGCCTCCATGTTCCTCTGTCCAGAACAGAGAAACATTCATACAGCAAAAGCACAGGGCAGCCTGAGATGCAGCCGAGAGGGGTGGGACGGGCCACCCCACAATTGGAGGTGAGAATAAGGGCAGAGTCTGTGGGGATAAGAGGTCCTTGGGAGAAGGTGAGGCAGCATAGGTACCTCGAAGACCATCAGGTTTCTGGGGGGTTTTTTGGTTTTTTTGTTTGTTTTTTGGTTTTTGTTTTTGTTTTTTTTTACTATAAGGTACTTGCACTTGCCAGATTGAAACAGAAAGAAATTGAGGGGGCCAGCAGGTGGCATGGTGGTTAAAGGCGCTGGACACCCACATGGCCTACCACAGTTCGAGTCCTGGACGTGGTGGCTTGCTTTCTCAGTTTCCCTTTCTCTCTCTGTCTCTCTCCCATCAAACTGGAAAATAATCATACTAATAAATAAAGTTAAATAAAATAATTCTTTAAAAAAAGAGAATGTACCCCCCAGGGAGATGGCCACCACAATTCCTTCTCTACTCTCTTCTTGGGTTTTCTTTGGGGGGGGTGTGTGTGAAATTTTTTGCTATAGGGTGTGTATGCTTGCCAGAAGACAGAGACACAGTAAGCCATGTGGGATCCAGCTGCCTTAACCTCCACACCACCTAGCTGGCCCAGCGGTCAGGTTTTCGTGGAGGAGAAAGAATGTGTTCTTCTCAATGCTCAGTGGATGGGAGAAGCCGTCGGGGAGAGGCTGATGCCTGGTGGAG